ACCTCTCGTGGTCATTGCAGATGGCCTCGGGCTGAAGTAACACCCCTAAAACCAGGATCTGGCCCAAGGAGTCCAGCAGGTTCCTCCTGCCTGCTGGTAACCCATCCTTGTGCCCAGCTCCAGCAGGTTCAGGCAGGGGCAGCAGCTCTGCAAAGTCTTTTTTTGTCACCTGGGGCAGCATCCCCGACTCTGGAAGCTCCCTGCTCGCACGTCGCAGCTGCCCTGAGACCCAGCAAGGGCAGGGCAACGCTGCTGTCCTCCACCACAGGGACCCAGCGGGCACCAGCCTCTGCCTCTTCCAAGCGATGCAGGAAACCACAAACCATCCTCAGACCTCGTGAGCAGGAGGCAGAGGTCTGCAGAGCAGATGTAACTCCTGACAGCTAATGCCAAGCCAGGAGGAAACTTTCAGCTGAAACCTCAGCAAAAAATAGGCACAAATCCAAAACTGAGGGGCCTTGGCTGTATAGCAAAGATCCCAGAGGGAACTCGGGGCCAGGGTTTACATCCAGGCAAGATGGAGCCAAAATACTTGGAGGCGAGATGGGGTCCTCCCACCCTCAGCGGTCTGGAGCCAAAGGAGAGGGGCCAGGAGAACAGCACGAGGCCAGAAGTTGCACCAGCTGCAGCCCCACAAGTTTGTGGGGGTGAGCAGCTCCTCCTGATCGGGGAGCTACCCCCTCACACGAGGCTTTGGGTTTTGGAAACTTCACAGAGCAGAGAGACTGCGGTCCTGGAGCTGCCCGGGGTCCCAGATGTGGGGAGGGAGGGCAGGAGTCGCTTGGGAGAGAGGAAAAGCTTTGGGGTGGGAGGGATGTGTTATTGTGAAGAGGGCATTTGTCTGCCCCGGAGGAAGGAAGAGGGGGGTCGGCCCCGCTCCCGCAGGCAGGTGCATGGCTGAACTTATCCGGGGGGGAGGAAGCAGGGAAGGAAGCGAGCCCGGAGCGCTGGATGGCTCCATCGGACCTCGCGGGCGGTCACACGGAAAGAGGCCCAACAGCGACGTGGGTTCACACAGCTCGGCGGGACACGGCAGCGCTGGGGCTGCCGGTGCAGCAAGACCCC